AGTAAAAATTAGGTAGCTATATAGAGGCTAATAATACGCTTCTTCCTATATAATAAAATATAACTCTTTTATTTTTAAGTATTACTACCTATCTACTAACCCTAATATGCTAGTAGGCTTAGAGGACTAGTAGGAAAACTAGTCTAGAAGTAGAGGTAGTTAATACGTAGTTACTAGTAAGCGTTTCTAGTAACTATATACTAACTATATAATTACTTAATCTTATATATTATCTATCTATCTAAATAAACCTATGTACTTTCTAAATAGTATATTAAACTATTTTATTTACCTATAACTTAGTCTAACTTCTTTTATAATATCTTTATTAGAATATTACTAGTTTTATAAGAGTATTAATATCTAGATCTATATAGATTTTAAAGAATATAAGATAACCTTAAAGTTACTTCTTTAAATATTATTCTTTATATAATATAATAACTATATTAGATAAAGCTCTAGTAGGATTATTTTATACTAACCTCTAAATAAAAGGATTAAAATATAATAGTTTATTAATTATTAATTAACTTTAAATATTACTTATAATACTCTAAAAGCCTAGATTATAATCTTCTTATCTTTAACTATATATTATAAGTCTATAATTAACAGTAATATAGTTATATAGTAGTATTTCTTTCTTAACTTTTATAACTTATCTTTTAACTTATATCTATTTATTAATATTCTTTGTTTATTTTGTAAACTATAATAAATAAACTAAGGTAGATAATTAAAAGCTAATTTACTAATTTAAGCATTACTTAGTAGACTATACCTATATATAATAAGTTTATATAACTTTCTATATCCTCTTTTTATTTTTCTTATTATTATTATTTAAACTATAGCTAACCTATCCCTATTTACTATTATAGAGAAAGCTTCCCCTCTTACTTTATCTTTACACTACTCTATATTAATAGTAGATTTCTTTAGAAGTATAAATAGTATTACTCTATAAAGTTAAAGAGTTAGTTTAGCCCTAAGTTTTATACTAGTTACTTACTATTATCTTTTAAACCTAGCTTCTTTTATCCTTAACCCTTTATTCTCTTTAAGAGGGCTCTCTCTTTTTAGACTAGTTAGATAATAATTCCTCTAGTAACTACTTAGACTCTAACTAGTCTTAACTAGAAGAGTCTAATATTAATATTAATCTTATATACTAGAGTAATAGTATAGATAGGAATACTAATTCTCCTATCCCTATAACTAAGGATAACTATAAAAGATAATAATATATAGAATAAGGAATTCTATAATTATAACTTTAGTATAAGAGTAGCTAACCTAAGTCTTTACTAGTAGTATTTTTAAGTTCTTATAGATAGAGACCTTTCTCTATAACTACTACACTTTAAATAAGCTCTCTTAGTTTAACTTATAGAGATTAGTAATATATACCTCTACTAATATAATAAATACTAAGCTATAGGCCTTCTAGGACTCTGCTAGCCTAATATAAAAAATAGTTCTAAGCTAGGAATTATTCTACTCCTTAGTAACGCTGTACTCTAACTTAAAGAAGGTAAATAACTATAACTCTATAGTTAGGTATACCTTCTTAAGAATAAGTCTAAATAAATAAGAGTTATAAGGCCTCTTTAAGCCTACTAAAGCTAGTTTCTTCCTAAGTATATATTTCTCCTTAAACGCCTATAAGATCTACGCTAGATTCTAGAAGTAGTTATAGTTTACCTAGGTAAAGATTATCTTCTTTAGATCTTAGCTCTATTCTATATCTAGCTAATAACTAGTTTAGCCCTAAGCTATCTTTATAATTAGTAAAGTATTCTAATATATATACTATAAGTAGTTAGTTAGCTATCTACTATTTCTTTAGAGTATTTACTAATATACTATTATAGAAAGAAATTACTCTTATCTAATTAGAGGTTAATCTTATATTTATAGGTAGTATAGACTTACTAGGACACAAGAGCATATAGATACTAGTAATATACTATCTTATATATAAGCTATACTAAGAAACTTAGAAATATCTCCTAGATAGATATAATAGCCTAGATAGTATAAATAGCTATAAGGCCTATATATTTAAGGTTATTCTTCCTATCTAGAAGATTACTTACTTAATAGCTACTAGGCTATAGCGTTTACTAAAGAATAGACTATATACTTAGAAATCCCTCTATATAAGCGTAACTAAATTCCTTATAGACTAGGATACTCTAAGAATTATAAGACTCTCCTAGTATAACTTTTCTATAAGGATAAACTTCTATATATTTAGTAACCTTATCCTAGCTATTCTTTACCTTTAGTGCCTAGGCCTATTCTAAATCTATTAAACTACTATAGTATTTAAAGATAATAATAAGGCTATAGCTATATAGGCCTTTCTTCCTACCCTTTCTAAGTAGTTAAGGTATTTAGAGTTAATTATAAATAATTATATATATAGTACTATATTTAGCTCTCTAGAACTACTTCCTAAGGTAGGCTAGTAAGCTATATACGTATTTAATATTATAAGA